AATCAGTCTACCGAATGTCCTTAAAAGATGTAAATTTCTTACAAAAACATTGGTGCCTTATTTGTTTAATTATTTTAAGGGACATAATTTCCAGCTTTATTCAAAGTAATTCAGATATTTTAGTATAAAAACAAATGCCTCATCGCAAAAAAAAAAGTTCTGCATTTAGATGTGAATAGATTCATAAAACATGCAAGATAACAGAAAATCTAAGCTGGCTTTTGTCCAAATATTTTGTACAGGTGTCTGTCAAAAAATAATGATTCACTGAGACAAATACGAACTGCCTCATTGTGTGACTACTGTATTATATGAAAAGTAAAAAAACACCCTTTATGAATAGCTATCATGTTGCAAGCTCTGCTTTGTATGCAAATCAACTTAAATAGTTGGTGTCCAGTGGAGGGAGAAGTCAACAGTACTGTTGCCTCCTGAGAATCTACATCTTCAAACACTGCAATCTTCGAAGTGCATTTTTAAACTAGTATTATGAAAACTATCATTCTGTTCTAATAGCTGAAACATATTCCTGCGAGTTTTCATTTGTCGAATGAACTGTTTGTCAAATACAGGATACATATATTTTAGAACAATTTTCTTTTTAAAATGTGGATGAAATGTTTTGCTTTTTGTGTATTGTTTTTGATTTGATAACTAAACATATTTTCTATTAGCTTCATATCTTGATCAAAGTTTGGCACCCAGTTCATAGGAGTGCTTATATTGATTTTCTGACATCTTGTTTTCTGTAAAGATTTTATTGGTAGGTTTAAAAATGTGATTACCAAGGATATTATTACAAGATAAATCATTTGCTTCATTGAACACATACAACAATGCATATTTCCACTGAGATCAGTGACCTTTGATGTGTATCACCAGTGATCAGTGAAGTAGAAACAGTCAAAATATTTTATCAGATTTTCTCAATTTTTGCATGATATTTTCATACAGGACATCTGTTGTTCAAACTCAGGGAAGACATTATACTGATGAATAAGGTGACCAAGTTTGATGAAGTTTGGAATAGAATTAGTAAAGTTATTATGCACACAATAACAATTATTAACGATGACAACGACGACGACGACGACAACGACAACAACGACAACAACGACAACAACAACAACAACAACAACAACAACGACAACGCCGGACAAAATCTTTCGCTTAATATACCTTTCCCTTCCATCTTTGATGGTACGGGCAAGGTAATAACAGACAGCAAACCATTCAGACAAGCAGCCATTCTCAGAATTAATCAAAGTGTTCCCCCATTCATCTTGTCACACACCCACAAAGGCCAAAAGCTGTGCTGGGAAGTACAAAGCTACTAAATTAGTGAATGTCCCTGGAAAGTTGTCTTAGTCAGAATTTTTTTAATGTTTCAAGTAATGTTTCTGATCACCAAACAAACTACCAGAAATAGTGGACCAATCTGTTTTTACTTATTTCGTCACTGTTGACATGCTTTTTAGGTCTTAATTTCCACAAACAAAATTCACTTTTTTTCTCCAGTCACACATTACTCACTCAATTTCAAACCGTTTATCACTGCTTTAGGCAAGTTTTTTAGGAGTTGAACTGAAGATTAAATGTTATCATCTTTATGTTTCACTATAATTATAATGCCACTAGGATATCAAAAATAGAAAAAAAATTGAGGTCACCAGACATATTAAGTTTTAATGTGATTGGTCAAGGCATGTTAAAGATATGGCTCCAAAACAATATTTAGTAAATCAAAATGGCCACCAGTCAGTCATTTTGAATTCAATCATAGTCTCATTATGTCTAATGTATGTACCTACATTTGTAGTTTGAACAAAATGCATCAATACACAACCAAAAATGTTTGATTTTGATGAATTTTAAGCAGAAAAAATGTTTTTGGCTATCTTGAATCAAAATATAAAACAAATGGACATGCATATGTTAAGTTTGAATATCTGCCCAGACATGTTTTCAAACAGGAACTAAAAATAAGAGGTACACACAGAAAAAAATAACTTTTCAAGGCTATATCTAATATTATTCAGTTTGATCATGAACAAATGTTTTAGATCAATTTCATACAAATCTCAGGACTGCCATATATTTTCTGAGGCACAGTGACCTTTGATCTGATACATGGCTATCAAGAATGCTATTAACCAATCAGATAAAGTCAGGTACAGTTGTTTGAATATTGGTGATAGCAAATAAAGTTCTGCTTGTTTTGGAAATGAATTTCATTATTATCAAAATCAGAGTATTGGCACTGATTTCACTGCATAATGTGATTAGTATATTTCAAAAAGTAGAACAAGTATTGAATGAGTTTTAACAACTTTCATGATAAAATGAACAGATGACTTGTATTACGTACTCAACTCAATAAACTTTACACTAATTTACTTGCAATCTTGTGACAACAAATGATGCATCTTATACAATGCATGTCACTTATTGTTTTCACTGATTTTTCCTCTGATAATTCAACCAGTCAAAATTTCAATTTAATTTTGTATTTTCTTATAACTAATTATTAAAAGGTTCAAATTTTGATAGTATTTTGTTGTATTCTTGTCACAAATATATTATTATTACCTTAGCTGAAAAGAAATCCGCTGCTCCTTTGACTCCTTCTTTGTCAACATCAATTTCTGATAAAGTGGCAAGCTGACTAAGTCCGCTGTCTGCAATCAAGTCACCTTCAGCAGCTTTCCTGAATATCAGTAGGAACTAGAAAAAAATAAATAAATGGATTTCTGTATAAAAAAAATGAAACTTAGATAATTGGTATTAATAAAATAATTTCAGAATGATATCAATTTTCTTATGCATTCAATATCACACATATATGTATATGGTGATGTGGGCATAATTCATATACATTTTTGATTGAATAAAAAAAATGATATGCATACTTATTGTCAATACCAGTCTGAGATCATCCTGGACAACATGGGACAACCATGAAGATAAATAATAAATACAAAAATACATTTCCTGTTTCAATGTTAATAGCAGTACATATAGATTTTGTATGAGAATGCCAGTAAAAACAGTCTTCTTCTCAAAAATAATAACACCATTTGAAACTACAATGATCTCGTTCAAAGTCTGCCTTTTTTTAAGATTTCAGTGCATGAGTGAATAAAACTGAGTGTGCTATTTTTGTTCAAATCTTATCCATTTGTGAGTTTAGTGTTTGAACTGTAAGGGCAATATTTTTCATATCATTTATTAGGTAGACAAAAAATGTCCTGAACTGGTTGTCCCAGAAATATATGCCTATGCATTATGTTTAGTGTCATTCACAGCCCCTTGAAATGGACATTAGCACTAAATCATTAAAGTTAAGTGCCTATCATTGCCTTTAAATATATGTTACTGTTAATCCTTTCAAGAATGAGCGCTGTTAATTTCACTTTTAAAATCCCTATGCAAGACATAAAAAAACTAAAAAACAAAGGGTAAGCCACGCCCCCAAATATGGACATGGTTTGTATTATTTCAGCTCTTCCAAGATTGCCAGTCAATGTTTACACTGGAACTGTTGCGTGAGTATTACCTATAACTAAGATAACAGTGTTCTACAAGTACATATTACATTATGGTACACACAGTTTAATGTTTACGTCAGCTGCGTCCAGAGTTGGGACAGTACAGGGGCAACAACAACTAAGTAGAAGTGTTTTCTTTGTTTGTAATCAAAGACAAATAAAGTGTAAAATCCATAATTGTCACTTTATGTACAGGATGACATGATGCTGTCAACACATAAACCTCCATGTGACTGATAAATATATACACCATGAGAAAAATGCGCTAATTATAATAACAATAAATGTTTTCACTAATCACGATGTCTGAATATTGTCTCAATATTCTATCACTTCAATGATATTACAAAAACAATTTTAAACATGTTACAAATGATATATACATTGAAATAAAACTAAGAATTTTACATTTCGTCATTTACTGATATAATTCTTTTTTACAAGGGGGCGACAAAGTTATATAAATAACTCATCCTTTCAATGTAGCTGGTCAATGTGCAATCAGTAATATGTCACATGACACATCACCACATCAAGTTATTGAGCCAAGCAGGCTTGAATCTATCTATGCGTTTCAACCAAACATAAATATGAATATTTTTCAATTATGAATGTTCAAACTCATATTTCCTGTCTATTTTGATTATCATAGAACCCAAGCATTTCAGAAACTTTGAGTTAAAAAATTGACAAAACAAGTACCTCTCTAAAACTAATTTTCCCGTCATGATCTTCATCTACAGTTTGTATCATTTCCTTGAGTCCTACATGTGTTTGTGGAGCACCAAGTTTCTCCATCATCAGTTTCAGTTCCATGAGATCAATAAATTTGTCTCCGCCAACGTCATACCTATATGTAACAAAAATATTAGTATCAAGGAAGACAGTACCTTTGTTCCTAGAAAAACAAGACATGAATGTCACAGTCCGTTATTTAATTAAAAAATATTCATGTTAAAATACTATATGGAACATCTGCAAACAATTGAATTAATATGTACTCTATGTGGGTACAACTCATCATAAAGTGATTTCCCTTAATCTGATAACTGAAAACTGTCATTGACCCGGGTCTAAAATCTCAGAGTACACAATTGCAATCAAACTATGTCTCATACATGCTCAAGAAACTGCATTCATAAATCTCAGTAAATTTTGATGTACCTTTAATAACAACTTCACTTCTTTGTTAATTCAGGTCTTTGTATATTACCAGGACCTGGGTTTGTTTCAGTATTACCACTATAATTCCCATCAAAATGTAGCCCTGAGACACCTCTTACATTTTCCACTGAGATTGGTAATGGTACGACCCATCTGTCACTGATTCAGATCAAGGTCATGACATCACTAAAAACCCTAGCATTACAATTCAAGTTAATTATTTAATCTGAGCATGCTCAGTTGTTCTCTCAGTGGTGTTGGGAGAGGTAGTTTTGGATGAAAATCATGAAATAGACCCACTTAGGCAGAGACTTGTTCAT